TCAATCAATCCATCAATCAATCCAATCAATCAATCAATCAATCACAAATGGAAAAGTAAAAGATAGTTACTTTTGCAAAGATTTGTGATCCATGTCATAAGCCTAATTTGATTGTATATGTTATTTACGAAACGTCTGGGTTTGTCTTGTTTATTAGTCGCCGTGGGCTCCTTACTTGATAAATTAACATCAGACTTTAACTCAATTTTAGGAGATTCAGATAATGAACACCTGATGTATCTTCATTACTCTCATTTATATTTTGCTTGTGGTGTTGATTGAGTTAACATTTTACAGACAGATTTGAAAATCTTTTATCCCGAAAATTTGGAGTTTCCAGCGCAATGAAAAAATAGTGACTATTTAAGATTATGATTTTATTTGCTGGTCTGTAAATACCTCAAACATCATTTACGATTAAAGTAAAATATAAGTTGGAAATATTTGAAAAGTTATTTTCGTTCGTTCAATCATTTTTGAGAGAGAAAATGTGTGTTCCACAAGCTTAAGGTTTTTTGATTGCACATTCGAAATAGGAAGTTATTTGGTAAAGGAAGAGTCTCAATTTTTAGCTAAGACTCAGATAACAGATGAATTATTATTTATATCTAACTATTCAAAAAATCTTCCCTTATGTTTCATTGTAAATATAACTTTCACAATTTTGCAAGTTATAGTTGTTGTTTTTATGCATAGGCTTATACAAACTTTTAATTTCTAGTATTTATTTGTGTTCATATTCACTTTTCATCTCAAGTAAACGGTAGTTGGGTCATGTTGTGACTCATTTCTCTTCAATTATGATGTAAAATTATTTATTTAGCAGATTAATTGCTATTTTTCTATTTTACATTGATCCATGAAAAAATTATATTTTCGAAGTTAATTAAATATTTCATCAAATATTATCTGATTTGTGTAACAATAGAGATTAAAATACTGATTACATCGAACCTGGTGATCTTATAAGTCTATACGAAACTTGTAAAATAACGGAAGGGCACCAGTCTATAGAAAAATAGCCATGGCGAAGAGTAGAATGTCTCCCTCGTATTAACCTAGCAAAATCTGGCTTTTTAACGTAAAATTTAATCATAATAATAAAGTATTAACGAAAATACCGAACTCCAATGAAAATTCAAACTAGAGGTTCTAAAGAGCTCATCTAGGTATATGTGCATTTTCAACAATGTAAATTCTCATAAATTGTAGACCAGAATAGAATTCATGACAAAAATCTCTTTTTGTTGATATTGTATTGCTGATCAATTTTTTTTATGATTACAGTTTCTCTCTATCTTCGTAAGTTTTTGACCAAAACACAAAAAAGGGTCAACAAATCGTCATTTAATGGCAATCACTCCTATAAAGAGTTTACCAACTTTTTCGGCAAAATTTGACTTTTTGTGGACCCTGTCATGCTGATCATTTTCGTTATTCAAAGTTTCTATCTATCTTTTATAGTTTTCAAGATTATAGGCAAAAAAGCTAAAAACGCCAAAAATTGATAAAAATCGTCATTAAAGAGCAAGAACTCCAAATACGAGTCGACTAACGATTTCAATCATGATTGACTTATTTGTAGATATTGCCTAAAGTTTCGATCGATCTATTATAGTTTTTAAGATATTAGGCAAAACGCAAAAAAATGGTAAAAATTGTCATTAATGCCCAATAACTCTAATAAGGAGTCGTCTGACCATTTCGACCATTTGACTTATTTGTAGATCTCGTCTTGCTGATCATTTTTGATATTTAAAATTTATTATAGGAATCAAGATAATAGGAAAAAATGAAAAAAAATAATAAAATTCGTCAGTTAAGGCCAATAACTCATATAAGAAGTTGTCTGATTGTTTTGACATAATTATAGGTAGAGCTCAACATTTCTAACATTTCTGCCCCTGTCTGATTTTCTATATTTATAAGGGTTTTCAAAATGATAGACAAAACATGCATTTTATCCCATATGTTCTATTGTTACATGTAGCCATGTCGGTCATCTTGGTTGGTAAGCCGGGTCATCGGACACATTTTGTTAATTAGATACCCCAGTGATGATTGTGGCCAAGTTTAGTTGAATTTAGCTCAGTAGTTTTTAGAGGAAAAGATCTCAGATTTTTGTAGCAGTTAACGGACGACGACTGTACGACGACGGATGACGGACCAGGTGAGCTTTAAAGGGAGAAGTCCATAAAACCTGACAAAATATAACGCTCGACTTTATCAACCAACGAATGGAAAACAACTGTGACATATTTCTGACTTGGTACAGCAAATTTCTGAAGAAAATGGTGGGTTAAATCTGTTTGTATAGCTAGCTAAACCTTCCACTTGTATGACAGTTGTTAACACGTGTCTCTATTTCAGTCTATTGATAGCCATCAAAGGGTGATGCCGCAGTTATATAGCATTACAGTCAAACGATATAAAAACTTCGTCCGGACTTTCTATTAGACATTGCATGTATTGAGTCATACAACTTTATCTTTATAAAAAAGGAGATATGGTATGATTGCCAATGAGACAACTTTGCAACTTTGCACCAGAAACCAAATATCCGTCCGTCTTTTTTCAATCAAAAGTTGATTACGTCATTGATTGAAGTATTAAAAAAAAACTATCGTATAGTTGATTAATTCCACTATATTTTTATGTCTTCGCCGTTTTGCGATCGGATCATTTGATTAACCCTCGTTCGTCTGTTTGTACGTCAGAAGTTCCTTAGTCGAATGTTATATCAGAAATAATTTCCTTGGTAGGCAAAAATGGGTTCCGGATCTACAACTCCGTAAGGTAACTGATTAAAAGTGTGCTTTGATGGATACTCATATTTTTAGGAAACGCTGTTTGGATTGATGAAACAAAGCCCCCTTTCGTTTTTGACAGGTTAAAATTTACTTATGTCGCGGCAGTTATTGCGCACGATAAACATATGATGAAGGGAGCATCATCTGTGTCCCATTTACACATTCTTTTTTCTTTGATTATAAAAGATGATTGGTTGTCTCTATGGCGTTTCATTGATACCTGTATGTTCTTTTTTTCTTTGATTATAAAAGATGATTGGTTGTCTCTATGGCGTTTCATTGATATCTGTATGTTCTTTTTTCATACACAATATACATGTCTAAAAATAAAAATTGTAACACATCCGTAATAACATTGAAAGGTGGCAAAGACAAGAACAAGCAAACCACACAAAATACATTAACATACAAAACCAAACGCACGATAAAACATAAACTAAATCGTAGAACTTCAGGAGTTATGACTTCATGGTTGAAAAAAGATTTATGAGTTTGTTATCTTTATTCTCTCAAATTCAAAAGTTTTAAATGAAGTCTCAGTTTAAAAAAAAATTGTCAGATTGCACAATTTTGCGTCTTTCAAGAAAAAAAAAACGGGATGGGCAAAGCCATACTAGGTAACGATAATTTATCCTATTTTACCAATTAGAGAAGGTATTCGTATATTGACCTTTTACGTGTAACGTCTCTATGAAATATGTTTTTCCATTGGATAGCCGAGGTAGCGATTATGCAGAGTTGTCCTGCATGTATTTTTACGTCCTAAAGTCAGCTGAACAATGTAAGAACTGCATTTTCACACAACAAATTGATGCATCATCGCCTGAACTTTGTCCAACTAAATGAAAGAAATGTTAAAATATTATAAAGAAATATTGCTACCGTTTTCACGCCTTGTGGAAATCCTCCTCAGACAAATTTCAGCGGTCTTTTATGTCTCTGTTTTTATATCATGCTTTTCATTTAGTATAAGATGAAAAGGCATTTGCTAATTTTCTTTCTGATTGACAAATGAAATGATACATGTGCATACCAAATTATTCTTATTTTAATCATATGAGCAGTCAAAGCAAAATTATCTGGTTATTTAGTGTAGAAAATGTTGAGTTACTTAAAATAATATGTAATTTTATATACAAACATCTTCCTTAGTGAAGATTAGTTAAAGGAAATCTATGTGTGTATATACATTTGATTGGACATAGAAAATTATGTTCATCTGAATATCACAAACATACTAGCCGATTAAAAAAAAAAATAATAATTGTTAAGATATATTATTTATTCAAATGTTCTCTTATATCCTTGAGGCATCGTCCCCTGGTATCAACTGCATTCAAGTTACCTATGATGCTTCCTTGTTTGCTTTTGATACAGGTAGGAATGAGACATTTACACACATTTTACATGCCTATGGCCCATAAGGTATCGCCCCCTGGTGTCAGCTGCCTTTAGGAAACCATAATGCTTTCCTATTTGCTGCTGACACAGGATGAGTCATGGACGTGTTTAATTTCTACTTTCTTTTTGGCTAATTATTATATATTTAATTGATCCAACTTTTTGTGTACTATACATATGTGGATATCTATTTTTCTTTTTTTCTTTTTGGGCTGCTTGTTTGTTATCTATATCAACCACACTTGCAATAAAATGCATTAGTATTAAAAAAAAACAACATACTATAGATTCTTTATCTACGTATTCTTTAAGAACTTGAATAGTTCTCGTTTAATTTTTTTTTTTTTTTTTTTATCTCATTGTTTGTATTGTATTATGAAAAATTATTGATGTTGTAATGTTTATGCCCTTTGGGGCCCATAATTGGAAATAAAATATCTTATCTTATCTTATATAGATTTTTTTTCTGTCGAGATTTACTTTTATTCGTGATTTAAAATGACTGAACATTAGATCTTCATTATCCGATTTTTAGACATTTGACATAATAAAAATCTGTTAATTAAATATTGAAACTAACACTTAAAGTATTATTCTTTGTCGTTATTCTCCTTTCACCTCATATCCAAAATATTTTTTAAACTTCTTCTAATATTTACTTAAGAGTATTTATTAAATCGAAATCGGAAGAAAATTGTTAATATAACTTCAATATAATATTGAACATAACACACTTATTTTTTATCGACTCTCTTATTATTACTACTATCTACCAGATTATTCCACCAGATGGCGCAGGACGACTTCACTAATCAACTAACTTGGCATAGTATTCATCACGCTGTATACAATAATGTAACAGCCGTGTAACATTTCAAAACAGATCAATTTCTCTGCATTGTGTACATTTCATAGAATATGACGGATGTTTCGTTTTTATTTCATTTAAATCTTCTTTGCATTTTTATTGTCCGTGTAAGCTATGGAAGTGATGATGCCAGAAGACTGTATTACGACCTTTTGAAGGGACGAAAGTACAACAAGTTGATACGTCCCGTAGGAAACAGTTCAGATAAACTCACAGTAAGAATGGGGATCCGATTGTCACAGTTGATAGATATTGTAAGTACTCATAAAAATTATAATTCATTAAATTTTTTGAATATTTGCAATTTGTTTTAGTTCTCAATTTTTATGACATTTTATAATTTATAGATTTTTTATGAGTTATTTTCATATCTTATCTTATCACATGTACGCCATGTATTTCTCAGTTTAATTAAGTATTGTTAGCATAGAAAATATAAAACCATCTATTAAAACGTGTCCCCTCAACGTCAACTGGGTTGTTTTTTTTTATATTGAGCGTTAGTATTGATGTCACGTGCAACAGTCGTTTAAACATGTTTAACCTCGCCACATTCTATATATGCCTGTCGCAAGTCAGGAGCCTGTAGTTGAGTGATTGTACGTCGTTGGTTCATGATTTCTGTCATATTTGTTTTTCGTAAATTGTTTTGATATAAAGTTGTCCGTTAGTTTTTTTTTTCAATTGAATTGTTTCATATTTGTCATGTCGGTGCCTTTTATAGCCGACTATACGGTATGGCTTTTTCTCATTGTTGAAGACCGTACGGTTGCCTATAATTGCTTACATCCACTTCATTCGAACTTTCTGGTTCAAAAAGGTAGAGGGTTTTGTATGGCAAATCTGGTTGAGCCTTGCCACATGATATGTTAATGTGTATGTCCTAAATAAAGAATCTAGTTCGTAGATGCCATCACCCCCCCCCCCCCCCTTTTTTTTTTGGGGGGGGGGGTCTTTGTTGAGAGATTGGTGTTGGTGACAGGTTCCGATATAAACATTACGAAACTTATTTTTGAATCTTTGAACTATGACCACTGCTACATGTATATCAACCTCTTGTCCTTCAGACCTGCCTTTATAGCATGCACTTTAACTTTAACACGAGTTTACTACCGAAGCTATATGGACCTATCCGTCTTTTAGAAACAATTTGTTTAGTTCTTAATGAAACAATTGAACCGTTTTGGTACAGCTTTCCAAATATAAAAATCCGAATACATTTGATTCCTGAAACGGATGACCTCTCGTTTAACTGTTCTATGTTGACTATTTTTGGTCGTTTTACGTACTTGCTCCTCAAACTTTTGGACTCTAACATGGCGGGTGGAGACCATTCAAGGAACACGTGCGAACTTAAATCTGTATCGTACATTTATGAGTTATCCTTTATCCACGGTTGAGGTTTTTCACATGAATTCTCTCAAGACGGAGTTAAACTGATTGGTGTATCCAATTTACACCATGATTATTGTGGTAAATGCAAAGTGATGGCTTTCAAAATTTAGGAAGGAGGTATTTCAGCAATTTAACCTTATGTCATGGTTAAGCATGATGATGAGGATGATGGATGGCTGCTTAACGTCAAGCAGCAAATTGATATTCATATTCAGGAAGAGAACATGTTAATTTAATATGAAATTTAGCTCTGCTTTGTACTAAACCGACACGCTGAGCCGGATTTTTAACGTGATAGTTCACAAGGTAACAGTCTGCAGGAAGACTTGTCACCTTACCCGGACACATTATTCTGACTCCAAGCTAAACAGTCTTTGATCTTACTCCTTAATGCCGCGTGCTTAGCGGAGAAGCAGAAAAAATACCAATTTTAAAGTCTTTGGTATAACCCGGCCGGGGTTCGAACCCACAACCTCCCGCACACGAGGCGAACACGCTACCACAAGACCACCGAGGCTGTGGGATAAGCATGATAAGTGCGGAATATACAAATAAATTCAATTGCATTATAATGCGTGAACATAAAATGCGCTTAATCTTAGTGAAATTGTTATCAAGAAAAATATCAAAATTAATACTTTCAAAATTGTCAAATGAGAAATGTTGAAGAAGAGTAGCTTTTGAAACAAAATAGGGAACTATCATGTATATGACTATCAAGTTTTGAAAACCTCTACACACTTAAACTGCTGTCAGATCTGGAAATAAAAACTTAGTGTTACCTCAAAAAAATCAAACAGCATAAACTGTATATTAAATGTAAAATGAAATTTTACAGACAGCACAAGTATTTTGAAAACAGATTATTTCCATCAATTACTTTTTTGTTTGTTTGTTTATTTGTGTACCATCATTTTTTTGTTGCTTTTACACTATATTGTAGGTCTACTTTTCATTTCTAATGTTATAATATTTAGTTTTTATTTTTCAAAGTAGGACTTTTTTTTTTGCGTGTGACCATGACAAAATCCCTAGTGAAATGCACGGACCTCATTAATGTCAATACGTCCTATTGTTTTGTTCGGAATAAATGAATGCATGTACTTGTATCCATATACCATATTATTAGTACCATCAACCTTATATTTTCAATTGATTTTATGTCATAAACTTCGATTTTGTGTTACCTTCTTATTCAAATATTTATTTAAGATTTAAATACTTCTTTGTAAAATTGTTTTAATTAGATTTTGTCCTTTGGATTTTCTGAGAATGTCTTCCAGCAGTCTCAAGTCGATAATAGATTGCACTTTATCTGTAAAATATAACATTAAAATGTAGACTTTCTCTTTATCTACAAAATGTAACATTTAAATGTAGACTTTCACTTTATCTGTAATATATAACATTAGAATGTAGACTTTCATAAATGCTTGCAAAACATTTTGTATACACATAGGAATGCCTTAAATAGGAATAGATAAGATATAGGGTATATTTTTTAGACCGTCAAAATACAATTTAAGGAAAAAAAGCCAACACAAGTTTTTCAACGATTGAAAAGTTTCCATATCATTTGTCAAGCTATAGATTTCCTGAGTTTCAACAATTTGTTCATGAATTTAAACGTGTTTTGGACAAGTAAGCCAACTTGTTATGAGTTTATTCACATATTCTGTATTTTCCTTCCCAAATGTCCTGTATGCAATAATGCAACAAATTATAGATTACGGTAGGTCGCGTATATATCATCCACCATCTTGGCGTGTAAAATAGCAGAACACAATAGTTTAATAAAATGTGCAAATGTGCAAATTTTGTAAAAGGAATGCAGTTCATTTGAAAGACTTCATTTTGATGAAGACAATATATGTTTTTATCTTATTATCAGGACTGTTATCAAAAATACAGAACATTTTTTGTACAATTAGTTTTTCAACTTTGCCATTTAAGTGGAGATTACTTAGATAACCCAACTTTCATAAAGGAATATGTAGTAAATTTACTTATATAGAATTTGTATTGTAGCAGGAATACAATTCTTTATATTTTCTGAAAGCCCATTACAATTAGAGCTATCTTCTCATATTTATTCTTAATTATATCGTTTAGTTTTCTTTCTATATGCGCTTTTGAAGATAAAAGACCGTAAAACAATTTCACTGTTTTATTCATTACTGTTTTCAGGCCCTTGCTCATCCCCCTTTTGTCCGCAATGTGTGCTGTTATTTAAGTCCACGCATAGCAGTAAAGCTAAAGTCCACATTACCCAGAAATCCAAGTCCGACAACTAGAACCAAGAAGACCATTTCTGACACTAGCACACACAAAAAAAAAGCTTTTTGACCCATACATTTTGGTAAATAGACTTTTTTTAACGAAAACATAAATGTTAATTAGAATAATTCTTAATATTTAATTAACCTACAGGCCCCTGTAGTTTTAACAACCTCACATGCACAGGGGAAAATCTAATGAGTTTAAACTCCCATAGTTTTACCAAAAAAATAGTTTTGCCCTATAATCTGTCCGTCTGTCTGTGCAAGTGTCCACTTCAGAACTTTTGTATGCCTTGTGGTATTTTTCCTACCGCCATAAGTTGTGTCTTGAATAAGGTTGTAATATCTGTCTATAAAACCAAGGTCACACACTTGTTTAAACCTTTAACATCAATTATTTCACATCTGCTGTTTTAACCAATTAAAATTTGAACAAAGGTCCTAAATTTACATATGTAGTTCAACTTTTAATTCCCATATTTAGATATAAAATGTCGTATCCGATTAAAAACTTCATAAAGAACATTATTAATGCTTGATAACATTGTTGCCCATCACCAGAGGGTGTGTTGGGAATAAGGTTGGAATGACTGCCTACAAGGTCAAATCATTTCTTTGTAGAAGATGAATAAAAAAGAAAAGTTATCATTTTGTGAGCTTTGCTCTCAGTACTTCTAGTTATATATCGATTTGTGTACAGTTTAAAACATAACTGAATGTTGTTATTATTATTATTATTTATTTTTGTGTATTGAAATTCCGTACTTAAAGGCAATTTTTGTCACCACATAAGACCTGTCTTCTTTCACTGTTCACTACGATGCAGTATAAAATCTAATCAAAAGTACAGCGGTCAATATTAGAGGGCAATATTTATACTCTTACATGAAAACTAATATGAGTTTGCTTTAAATAACTGTGATACGAATTCGTTTGCCTTTTTACTTGAGCACATGATCTATTTCCGTATTGATTTTTATTATAGGCTCTACAATATGCTATTTGTAATTCCACTGATCGAGATTGAAAAAAGGGATTGAGTACTTACAAACTTTTTTTTCTCTACTATTTGTTATTATGCCTGTCACAAGTCAGTTATTTTTTTTTCCGTTATTTCTTGGTGTTTTATTCTTGAATGAACTAGGTGTTGATAGCAGGCCATGGGTATATTTTGTCGTAAATTCATTCACAAATTATCTAGATTTCGACCGATTAAGAGCTTCGCATAGAAACTGATCTTTTGATTGGGTCCGTATGTTGATCTGAAGATGTCTTTCGTTGTTCTTTGGTGCTGTCTCGTTGAAAGAAACGTCACATCTCATTTTACTCCTTTATGATAAAATTTCATCCAAATTGTCTATTTTAAAATTAATCATGTATTATTTTTTTTTGACAAATGTCAGTTTTAATATCATGTGAATTGAGGACCAAAACTCTCTAAACATTTTCATGCGTTGTTGATAATTGTGCGTAAAAACTAAATAAATTAAACGAATATGGTAATTATGTTCTTATTCTAAAATTAATTGGTGGGATTTTTTCTAATTTTTCAGTGATTGTTGGTGTGTAGTTCAGTATCG